ATGAATAGAATCACATAATATTTTTATTGTATCAAAATGGTGGTGGTGGTTATTAACCTGAATTCGCCATTCTAGTTAAAAATTAAATTTGGAAATTGGATATCCAGAAATGGTAAAATTGACAAGTTAATTCAAGAATGCCAACAAAAAACAGATTCACCCCATGTATCATTGAATAGATTAATTATGATCAATATGAGAATATAGAGCATTGACAGAAAGAGGATACGCTGCCATTTATACAGCAATGGATCTGATGATAAATGAGATTCAGAAAGACAAAAACTAGAAAGGTTTGGAAGACGAAAAAGTATTCTTAATATATTATTATTATTTGAATTATTTAGTTTTTTAAGTAAGTTTAATTACATTTTAATTTCTGTTTAATTTTCAGAAATATTGATTATATTACAAACAATTATCAGACAACATTAATTTTTCACTTGATAATACTTTTCAACGACTTTCTGCATGTTTTGGATTTTATTCAAAATCCAATTACTCATGATTATATATTAGTTTTGTGATATTATGATAATTATTTAAGACTTTTTTAAAAGATAATTGTCATACACTTGCATTATTAGAAAAATGCACAATTATATAGAATTCATCATGATAATTTTCTTTCTATTAACGATCTCATTATTCCCATTTTACTATATTAATTTACTAATGATTTTAATATGCTAAAATCTATATTACTGAAAAATTTTGACTAAAAACATTTTTACTACCGATTTTATTTTTATTTTTATTTAAGTGAAAAGTTCAAAGTCGGATGTTTTTTTTGAATGATGTTATTGTCTTATAGATTAGTTTAATATAAATCAATATATTTAAAAAATTCGAAATTTAATTTTTCATTCATATCAATAATAATCAAAATAAAACCAATAAAAAACATGTGTAATACATATGTATATAAATTTATTAATAAAATTAAATAAAAAAAAATTTGTCACTATTAAATTTATAAAATGATCATTTAAATTTACAAAAAGTTTTTTATCTTATAAACCAATAGCCAACTTCTAAAATCTAATTATTTAAAAAAATAATTACTTTAAAGATTAGATTTTTTTTTAAAAAAAAAATTAACTAAATGAAAGAGATTTAATACTTACAATCTTTGCCTTTTATTAACGTGGGCATCGGTATCATCATAGGCGTCATAAACTAAAAATTATAATAATTATCAATATGAAATAATATTTTAATATGTATAACATAAATATAAATAAAAACACTTACCCCGTTCCCGTTTTCGATGATTATTGTTATAATAATTCTTGTATTTATTATCATTTTTTAAAAAAATTGCCAAAAATGTGGCAGCTGCTAACCAACCAATAATTTTTTTTTGATCAAGGAGTTGGAGAAATGAATTCTTCCTTGTTTCAGCATATTCCCCAACTCCTTCGTGGTATTGCAACAATTGGATATAATTCTTTTGTTGTTGTTGATAAAGTTGTACAAGCTTTTGATTTCGATTTTCATGTTTTTGTCCATGATAATCCTCAGGTAAGCGGAGATCACCTTGCTTCATCTGCGGTTGATGACTTTTTTCAAAGTTTTTAAGTTGTTGGTGTTTATTTTGTTTTTTTTTTCGAAGGAAATAATCATTATCCTGTTCTTGTCGTTGGATCCAATGATTATTTCGTTTTTGTTGTTGCTGGGAACGATGTTTTTGACGACTTTGATGATTGAGATATCGCGGTTGTTTTCTCCTTATAGGTCGTTTGGTTTCTTGTGGTTGTTGCTGTTGGATATCTTGTTGTTGAATATTTTGCAGTTGTTGTTGTTGCTGTTTTTGGTCATGTTGTTGTTGTGGTTTTTTTGTTTGTTTGAGAGTAAGAACCATTGTAAAGAATTTATGACAATTTATGAAATTTTTAATTTTATGAGTATTTATTAAAAATTATAATTTTGTGAGTATTTATGAAAATTTAATAAAATTTTTAATTTTGTGAATAATTTTAATTTCGTATGAGATTTCACTTTTTTTCAGTTTGTCATATTCATTCTCTTAAATTGATTTTTTTTTGTTCTGCAGGTAAAAATATTTCTAGAATAATTTTTCTAATAGTAGAAATCTGATGTAATATGAGTATAGTGGTAATAATGATGACCCTTTTGTTTGTTATGTTTAATATTCATAAAAGGATGATTGTTTAATTTCACACGAGGAAAATATAATGTTATTATTATGATCAGGGGCTTATGCATCAAATATAAAAGATGATATGTATTATGTGTATTTTATAATAATAAAAAATTACTTAATTTAGTTTAACCTTTTATCAATCGATTTGAAAGCTTCAGAAAAAAAATGTATGCAAATCAATCAAAAATTTTTAAGACATTCATATGCGATCGATGTAATAGTCAAATGATTCCTTATCATCCAAATATGGTTTTATTTTATTACTATTATTATTTACACTGATACTATACTATTACTATACTATTATTATTGCTACTGATATCGCAAATAATAAAATTTGTAATAATTACAATAATAAAGAGTTTGATTAATATAAATAACATTTTAAGAGATTTTAGATTTGGAATATTACAATAATAATAATATATACCATTGTATGACACCATCTGGAACAACTAATAAAAAGAATTATTCTTTATCCTTTAAGTGTTCCGGGAGGCTTCTTCTTCTCCAATTATTATTGTTTGTGTTGTTATTATTATATATAGTATATTGTTTTACAATAATTACATTAAAATTAAACTTCATGTAATATAATTTATAATAAAAAATTTGGCGGTTAAAGAATTGTTTCATGGTGCATAAAGCCTTAAAGTTATGTCGCGTACATATTTTTAGTCAATCGATTACATTTTGATCTAATATTATACAGTATATAACAAAACGGTAAATCACACCAGTTGTGTTATTCACCATCACCTATATTGCCGGGATAGGGTTAGGGTTTTCAAGGGTAGTGTATTTACCACCGTGTGTCACACCCTTCTAATATCGATTTTATTAGATATCCTAGAATTTTATTATATGTGAAAAGCATATTTGTCATCTAATATTCGTCACCGAATACAGATCACACATGAAATAATTTCTATCATCTGGACATCATGTGTCTATTTTTAAATCATGTGTTTTATTTTATTAGTTGATAATCATACTGGTGTGATTTATATAAAGCGATCAAAGTAATATAATCTTTGTCATTGAATGGTGATTATTGAATGATTGCTCTACAAGTTCAAGCCGAATCTTCTAAATGATATTCACAAGTTCATAATCATCCATAGTATATAAATGCGTGAAATTATCAGAGACAAGAGAATTCATATTAGGGAGGAGGGAGTGGATAATTAGAATACGCAACATATGGGTGGGATCACCAAGAGATGAATAAATTTAGATTCGGATTAAGAAATGGAGAATTAAAGGTTTCTAAAGAGATATTATTATTATCATTTGTATTAGATTCTTAATTACTGTGAATCAAAGGGAAGGGATTTTCTTTGAAACGTTCTTTACAAATTGTGGTTCTTGTTTCCGAGAAATGCTAGAATATATTGATATATCTTTAAATTCAAAATTATAATTTGTAACTATATGATTAAATTCTTTTCAATAATAATTAAACCGTTCATAGTTCTTAATTCCATTTTTTAAATTTAATTGTAAAATCACATCTTTTCTGATAGGTGATGAAGACTCAAATTTTATTATGGTTACAGCATTTTAGCTTTTAATAGGTAATTGAATTTGTACGCTCAAAGTATTTTGGTAACTGATACTATTAATAGGAGACGACATATTAAAGTAAGAATTTTTTATTCGGATATATTTATACAAAATTTTTATTAATAAATTATGATCAATAAATTTTTTCGTCTGTAGATTAAAGATACCCCCTTGGCATCTGGAGAAAGTCAATAATAAAAAATTTAATATTTAAAACTCTACTTATTTATACTCAAAAACATTTGCATAAAAATCCCCAATCCGCTTAACTTCGGAAACTATTATCAAACAAATAATTCTGCTCAAACATTCAAAATTATCCTTAAGTAAGTGAAAATAAAATCATTTATTACCCAACCAACTGTATTGTATTGTCAAAAGAATAATATATTAAAACACATTTTATTATATGTAGATACACGGAGGAGTTGTTGCCATTGGAAATATAGAAAACCAAAATATTTTATGAATTATTGAATTTGAAGAGCTATCTTAGAAGTTGGAAAGTTACCTTGCTGAATCTAAAGCTTCTTGATTAAGAACTCATTTCCCTGTATTTTATCATTATCATTCAATCTTTGATAATAATAAGCATAATGAATTCAGAGATTTGAAACAATTCTTATAATGATATTATCCAAATTTGATTTTTTGAATCTGAAGAAATTAAAATTCGGGATTATTATTATGTTATCAAATGGGAATTGCACAAAATTCTACATTACCTAGAATTTGGAAGAAAACTTCAAAGACTTTGAAAATGACTCTACAACAATGTTTACACTTATTCGCCATTTTTATATTTCTGGCAAAGAATTTTGGTTGAAGTAAAAGCCCATAGAAAAAGTATTAGTACGCAGCTTTGGATTATTTTACATTAAACCCAGTAAATCGCTTATTCTATCTGCAAGAGTTATTTTACCTCAAAGAGTAAATGAAACAATCACACGAAGAACATGTGGCAGAGATTTCATCATGTATTGCTCGCAAATCAACTGTTTATTCTTTAGCCAATGTACCATAACATGCAAATTTCAATTAAGATGGTTTTTCAACCAAATACATTTTGGATACATTTAATGGATATTCTGGCATGATTATAGTTGTAAAGTTGCGGGAACTGACAAAATACTTTTGATTTTGATGCTGCCATTAATTCTGATTATTATTTAATTCCATCTTCCTCGTCCGTGCTTTCTTCTTCCAGGCTTCTCCACCTTCATTTATCATCTATATCCTTCAATAGAAACTTTGCTGTTTATTAAGTTAGTGAAAGTGAGAAATCGTTTGTACTAATAGAAACTTTTTTAAAAAAAAAACAAAAAAACTTATTTTATTAATAAAATTACTCACAAGACTTTATCCCCACCGCAATTATCATCGCTATCATCATTACCATCTCCTCCATTATTAAAATATAAAGTTTCTCTGTCTATCCTCGTTTATAATGCATGTGTTTGTTCTTGTTATAATTCTTGTTGTCTCATTCTGGTTCTCATTGCTGTTGTCAAGTTTCTTGAGCCTTCTGCGCCCTTTTTTTGGAATTTTTTTGTTGTTTCCGTTGTTGATCATTAATATACACCAACCTGCCAAAAGTATCCGGGCAACAATTTTTTTGTCAAATTTTTAAAAACTTTTAAGGATGAATTATA